TCTCCTGGTTTCAGACTCTATCCACTGTCCTCTCTCTCTCTCTGGTTTCTGACTCTATCCACTGTCCTCTCTCTCTCGTTTCAGACTCTATCCACTGTCCTCTCTCCCCTGGTTTCAGACTCTATCCACTGTCCTCTCTCTCTCTCTGGTTTCAGACTCTATCCACTGTCCTCTCTCTCTCTGGTTTCAGACTCTATCCACTGTCCTCTCTCTCTCTGGTTTCAGACTCTATCCACTGTCCTCTCTCTCTCTCTGGTTTCAGACTCTATCCACTGTCCTCTCTCTCTGGTTTCAGACTCTATCCACTGTCCTCTCTCTCTCTGGTTTCAGACTCTATCCACTGTCCTCTCTCTCTCTCTCTGTTTCAGACTCTATCCACTGTCCTCTCTCTCTCTGGTTTCAGACTCTATCCACTGTCCCTCTCTCTCTCTGGTTTCAGACTCTATCCACTGTCTCTCTCTCTCTCTGGTTTCAGACTCTATCCACTGTCCTCTCTCTCTCGTTTCAGACTCTATCCACTGTCTCTCTCTCTCTCTCTGGTTTCAGACTCTATCCACTGTCCTGTCTCTGCATTAAAGGCACGAAAAGCCCAAAATAAATCTTTAAAAAAAACAAAAAACATGCAGGTTATTGCAGATAAAAAGTCAAGTCAAAGTCAAAGTCAACTTTATTTTCAATTTCAAAATATGCCAGACATACAGTGGAATCGAAAGCAGTGTTACTTCATGCTCTTCGTGTTAAAATTGGAGTCAGGATGCAATAGTTTGTCTAAATTCAGTGATTCAATATTTACATTAAAAATGTTTATGGATCATTTGAATGCACAAGACGTTCTCATAGTCCACTGCACAGCTTCTACATTACACCTTTTGTGTTTTTTATATTTAATATTTTACATTTTTAAATTCTATTTTATATATTGTAATATCTTCTTATTCTGTATTATTTAAGTTGTTTAGTTCTGCTTTATTTCCTTGTTAATTGTTTAGCACCAATACACCAAGTCAAATTCCTTGTATGTGTAAATGTACTTGGCAATAAACCCAGATTCTGATTCTGATTCTGATTCTGATTCTGATTCTGATTCTGACATATCTTGTGAGTGGAAAACGACATGTTCTTTGCCACCTGTAATTGAAACAGTTTAAGTTCATTGGATCTGGGGAGAGAGGAGTTTGTGGAGTTAATTGGGTTTAGTTGAGACTAGCAGAGAGTGAAGCCACACGTTCGACCTCTCTCTGTTTCTCTCTTGTTTATCATTTGGATAATTCTGTATCTGTTTTTGTTTATTTTTTTGTCAAAGTAAACACTTAAACTTTTATCTAATGGTCCTGTGGATGTTTTGGATGTGGATTACAGAAGAGGGGATTTTTTGTAGCATCAATCTATACGGCTTCATTCAGTGGAAACCTACAGTAACAAACTAGTTATAAGTGGACTAACTCAGAGGTGCCTTTAAAACAGATAAACTAATCCAAAGTGTACTAATAATACCAATAAAACATTTGAAACAACAGAAAGGTACAATAAGGTGGATTTTCATTATTGCAACTGTTTAATTTCTGCAGGAAATGTAAGGCCAAGACAGCAGACCAGAACCCAGTCCAGGACCAGTTTCACCAGCAGTCAGCTGGAGAGGTCAGAAGAACTGTCATCTGTTAAGAAACAACTTTTCTCTTTTTTATCACGCTTAAAAAACACTCAACTTTGTTTTATTTTTTTCCAAAAAAAAAAAACCCATGCAGATCCCTCAACAGCAAAGTGGTACAGACAGGAGGACAAATAACAAGCGGAAGAGCGAGTACATGGAGAGGCTCAACTCAATCTATGATGCCTACTGAGCTGTCTTTCAAATGAAAGACAAACAAGTGACACATGTAATTCATTTTTACAGTTTTAAACCAGGTGCTTACAAGTTTTATATATATAAATATAGATTTAAAGTTGATGTGCAATAGGCCTACGTGAATTAATAAAAAGTAGCCTATGTTAACATTAAAAAAAGAAAACATTTTGCCGCCTATGTGATGACGATTGTGACGTCAAGTCGGCAAAACGAGCACCTCCTTCTTTTCCGAGTTTCCGAGTTGTTGTTCCGACTTGAGCAGGTGTTCATGTGCATTTTACAACTCGGGTATCGTTTTTCCGATGTGCCTGACACCCTGAATGCACCAACTGCCAAACGTGCCGTTCGATGACGTTACACTGTTATCAGCCAATAGGAGCAGCCTCACCAAAAACAAACCGGAAGCTGCAAACTAGTAAACACGACCGAAAGGAGAAGGAACGTGCAGCTCCTGAAATAACTGAATTACAACAGGGCTATCTCAAAGTGCAGTTATCCCCAAACTTTTAAACACATTTCCATAAACTGTCACCCAATTTCTCAACACCTCAGAGACAAAAAAAAGAGTGAACTACTTTGTGAAAACTCTACAAATGTCTTACAAAGTGAAACAAAGCTAAAAACCATGTCCCCTCTTCTCTAAACTGATTAATTTAACCAAAACAATACACACTGATGTGAACAATTCAAAACACTACCATCAAAAGTGTTCATGTATGTTTTGGATGAGAAGCAAAAGAAAAAAAAACAACCTTCATGTGCAAGCACCTAGTAAGAGAGAGTACCCTGCTGATGAATGTAGACACAGAGGGGTTTTCAAGTGGGCACTCTCCTTCCTCAGTGTTTTTGTTGTTGAGCTGACGACGTCTCAGGAGGGCTCAACAGCGCCCTCTGGTGTCCCAGAAAACATCCCCTATATGTCAACCTGGACTGCTACTTTGGGTCCCAGCAGAGGTCTTGCATCTTCATCCATAGCCATTGGCTGTTTCTCTCTGCAGCTTTGGTCGCTTCCTGCAGTTTCTGGCCTCCTAGGTCTCTAAGCAGCTTCAAACCTAAGGCAAGGTGAGTTTATTTATGTCACACATTTCAACAACAAGGTAATTCAAAGTGATTCACACAAGACATCAAAAAGCATCATGACAGAGGAAAGAAAAGAAACATTAAAATAGAACATTTAAAAATCACTGAAATTATTAAATCTGAAAATATGTTCAAATAAAAATAATTCAAATGAAATTAATTGAAATAAAAAAAGTAAAAATATAAAAAGAGTTAAAAGTTACAGAGCAGAGTTAAAGTTTAAAATCTTATTAAAGCTGTTTCATTAAAGGCAGCTGTAAACAGGTGCGTCTTCAACCTGGATTTAAAAGAGCTGAGAGTTTCAGCAGACCTGCAGTTTTCTGGGAGTTTGTTCCAGATATAAGGAGCATAGAAGCTGAACACTGCTTCTCCATGTTTGGTTCTGACTCTGGGGACAGAGAGCAGACCTGTCCCAGACCACCTGAGCGGTCTGGATGGTTCAGAATTAATCAGGAGGTCACTGATGCTCAGGTGTCTTCTTCTGCAAAACTGATTCTCGAGTGCTACTTGAGTGACATCAATGGAGTTGTACTTTGAGTTTAGCAGATTGAATTCATGTTTGTGATACATGAGCTTCATCTTTTCAGGTTGGTGTGTATAGTTAATTTGTTTTGTGTATAAAAAAGTTAAATGTATTTGATAATAGGTTTTTCTTGTGTTTCTTTTTGTTGGCTATCCTTGCTCTTTGCTGCTGTAACACTGAACATTTCTCCGATATGAGTAAAGGATTATCTTATCTTATTGAAAGCTTTTGAAAGTCTTTTTTTCATGTTACATTGACTTACTCTAGAATTTTAAATAATTCCTCCAGTGGTTAAAACTGGGTTTTGTTGTAAAATATCTACATTTATGAGAAAAACAACTTTCCTATTAAAATCATATTATTGAGAACAAAGTCTTAAGTTTCCAATTGTCAACAAAAATACCAGACTTCAAATTTTTTCACTTTCAAAGGCGGCTGCTGAACCTGAATCTGAATCTGCTGAAAATTTGAGTCAGGTCAGCTCGACGTGTTTTCATGACAATTTGTGTCAGATGTTTTTGTTTTGATGACAAAATGATTTTACCCCCCCCCCCCTCAAATTTTGGTGTAAAAATGTTGAGCAACGACCTGACTCAAATTTTCAGCAGATTCAGGTTCAGCAGCCGCCTTTGAACGTGAAAAAATTGAAGTACAGTATTTTTGTTGAAAATTGGAAACTTAAGACCTTGTTCTCAATAATATTATTTTTATAGTAATAGAATTTTTTTATCAAGAAAATGTTGAAACCCCCGACCCCCGACCCCCTTGCTCCCTATCCCTCTTCCTGCATCTTATCCCATCTCTCCCCCTTTCCCTTTCCAAGCCCGGCGCAGTCTAGGCCTGTGAAGGCTGTTTCATCATGAGCTGGAGATCCGGTCTGAAGATTTCTGCCTTTTAATAAGAACGTTTTTTCTTACCACTGTAACTTTTGCTGCTTTGCTAAAGTGCTCATGATGGATAGACCGGATCTTTGTAACATAACAATGAGTAAGTCTTTTACCTGCTTTTTGTAAAGTGTCTCAAGATAACACTTGTTATGAGTTGAAGCTATACAAATAAAAATTGATTGATTGAATTGACCCCCGACCTGACTCACATTTTGATGAAAAAATGATGATCCATGTGCCTGACTCGATTTTGTTTTAGCAATAAAACATGTTGAGGATCTCTTTAGAGAGAGAGAGAGAGAGAGAGAGAGAGGGGGGGGGGGGCATTTGTAAATGTTAGGTCACAGAAGTGTTTCCTTTAAAAAAAACATAATTTCTTTCACTCATTAAAACACTAAATAATTCTAGAAGCTGTCTGCTCCTCTTGGTAAATGCACCAGGTCATTTAACAAAGCTATGATTTCACTTTTTTAATCTCATAAACTTTGAGAACTTTTCACATTCTCACACTATTGAAAGACGTTAGCCATGACCTCTGTGGTTCACAGCTGACGTGACACATCATTTCCTTCAAAACAACAACCCACTTCCTCTTCGCCCCACCTTTTCACAGAAATATTTATTGGTGATGAACTGTCAGTCTGTCTTTTTCTCTGGCTTATGGTCATCATGTTTCATCCAAACCAAGCAGCTCTGCTCTCCTTATTATTTATGCACGGGGTCTTTGCAGGTAGAGTACAACTTTTGTGTTTTTTGCAATGCATGCTTTTCTCAAGGCTAAGTTTTGTATCTGTTGCATATGTATTAATTGTTTTTTCATTCTTTGATTTAAGCGGATCAAAAAGTCGTCCACACGGATGAAGAGGTGTCCAGGGGAGGCTCTGTCATTTTTATTTGCAACACATCAAGAGAAAATACAAAACAAATCAACTGGAGCAAAGGCAGATTTCGTTTTTTTCATTCAATGAAAGGAAATGTGACTGTTTCAAATTTAACCTCTGACAGACTGACAATAGATCTATCCTCAAAGCTGATTATTTCTAATGCTCAGGAAGATGATGAAGGACTATATACATGTCATTTAACTGAATCTTCAGGGTCAACGACTTATCGGTGGAATTTAACCGTGTCTGACAGACCTGAAGGTAAGTAGAGCTCAAAGCTGGTCTCCTCACTTAAATAAAAGTCATAATGAATGTGTAAGCTCTGATGACCTGCAACATAAAGTCATTCACATCTGATTTTACACAGAGGAGAAGTCATTGTGGTATTTCCCATACATACTCATAGCTGGGATCGGAGTGGTACTGTGTTGCATCATTTCAGCCACATGCCACATCCTTCTATGTGGCATCCCTCCAGCTGTTTATCTCTGCATGTAAGTTATAACTTGACTGTGTGACAATTTCTGCCAAATAAACAAGCTTTAGTTCATCTTGGCTCACAGTGACCATCTCACACCTGCACCATGTGTTGCTATAGTCTGAGCTCGTTGCAATTTTTTAGACATTTCTGTTTCATTTTGCTGCTTTTATATATATATATATATATATATATATATATATATATATACACGTCATGCAATTAATACAACAGGATATTTGAATGTGTCAACTTGAGGGTTCTTAAGTTGATGTTTTTTGGGGTATTTGCTAAAATCTCATTTTCTCTAAAGGGCTATCAATCCATCAAAATAAATAAATAAAAAAGCAGATTAATCAATGATAAATATAATTTACCCTATACCCATTCTGTTTTACATAATAGCCTAGATGTTTCTTTTCTTTCTTTAAGTACATTTGGCAGATAATCTCCCTTTTACATTTGATCAAGAAGAGTTCAAAATGTGTCACATTGTTACATTTATGAGTTAGTTCAGTAAAGATTCTAAGACTTTCCTAACAATGTATTGGAGACAGTTGAAATGTGCCATGGAGTAATATTATTGGTTATAAATCCCTACAGGGAAAGCAAGAGCTGGGCCTCAAACCAGGACTTAACCTGCAGCAGAACCCTGATCTATGCCGTGGTTCAAGTCCCGTTTGGAGGAGGAGAGGTCAGAAGAACTTTACTCAAACTAGTGTGCTCTAAAATCTCTCAAACATTTTGTCCTGTGAGTTTATTTCCACATTTTTCCGCTGCAGGTGCCTCTGAATCTGCCCCAAAGCTGTGTGGAATACAAGATGATGAACACTTGAAGGGACTCGACTTCAATATTTTCATTGAGTTCAGATTAAAACTGAGTAACCAGACAGCTGCTCGAATGGAATAATGACGGAACACATCTCTATGACATATATATATATATATATATATATATATATATATATATATATATATATATACAATTTATATATAAAAAACAAAACATTTCAGCAGGCAAATTGATGCCCTCAGTTTTCACCTCTTAAAGGGAACACATTTGCAACCCTACTTCTTTGAAATCAGAACATTTTTTTGGCATGCCTTTGCCTTTTATTAGAGGGCCCTGTAGCAGGAATGTAATTTCTAAATCCCGTCATATCATCTTATTATCTAATTCAATTTTCTTTTTACATTGCTGTACTCTATTTTTTCAGAATTATGAACTCTTCTTAAATGTTTTGTTCTATTTTATTGTGGTTCTTGTGGCTAACCCTTTTGCACCAATACACCAAGACAAATTCCTTGTATGTGTAAATGTACTTGGAAATAAAAAACAATTCTGATTCTGATTCTATTACCCTTTAAATTTGATTAAAAGAACTTTGGATCGACTTGTTTTTTAAATGTATGTATTGGTATGACAATAATAATAATAATAATAGCTAGGCAAATTGGTTTTGAAACCCAAATATTTATTAAGTTTAAAAATTAAATGCTGTTTTTATTATAATTATTATTTATTACTAATAATTAATTATTTTGGAGCAAAAAGTTGTATTTCATGATGAAACACCAAGTCAGCAGACATTATGGAGCAATGGAAACTTGGCTTTCAAGGAGAAAAAAAAGAAAAGATAGTTGCTATTGCACACCTGACCACAAGAGGGACTGCGTTAAAGGTGAAATAATTCATGGAACATGGATAGTGGAAATTCCAATCCCCCCTAAAAGCAGCAGGATCCCTTTTTGTCACGTGCTCTACTTGTACTGGTATACTGGTATTTTAACTTCTAAATAAATGAGGAAACACTAAAGACACACAGAGAAGAATGTAACAATACACACTAGAACAAAGAGAAACACAAGCATAATATAAGAAATGACATAATGAAACAGAACAATAAATCTAAACTCTGAAATACACAAAATACAAAACTAATCAACTCCACATCATGAACACTTGCAAACATTGTTAATGTTGTTACACCGACTATTTTGTCATTATTAAAAACCAGTTACTGTATAGACATTTGAAAAAAAAATGTGTGTTGTCCCAAATACCGTATTGGTCCGATTATAAGACGACCCTGATTATAAGACGACCCCCGTTTTTCAACACTCATTATAGAAAAAAAAGATTTGCAGACCAGATCTTGTTTTTATAAAGAATTTTTTTTAAAGAACTTCATTTTATTTGAAAATAACAATATTAAAAACACATTGAATTAAACACCTGTTGTATTAATAATTATAATAATAATTAACTTACCGTATTTATCGGTATAGGCCTACGGCACTTTTCAAAACAAAGTGTTTCACAAGGGCGAACTATGTACAGTATGATTCAACATTACAATCGATTAACAATCAAACAATATTATCAACATGTTTTTAACATTTTGAAATAACAGAAGAAATACAGGCAACGTTTTTAACTAAACTACCGCTAAACTAAAGCTTGCCAAACTTCTCCTCCGATGTCTCCTATTCCTCACACACACACACACACACACACACACACACACACACACACACACACACACACACACACACACACACACACACACACACACACACACACACACTCTGCCACATCACTCCCCTGCCCCTCCAGAGCGCGTCATGTGTGTTGACATTTAAAGGGACAGGTGAACAATTAGAGCTGCGCTCTGAATACTAGACCCCGAATATAAGACGACCCGACTTTTTCGGACCTATTTCGATGGGGAAAAAGGCCGTCTTATATTCGGACCAATACAGTAAATGCTTTATAATGAAATCAACTGGTTGGGACGGCCTCACTACAGGAATACTAAAACATGTAACTGTATAGTTTAATACAAAAACAACAGATACAGATGCAAATAGCCCAGAGAGAATATAATGCAGTAAGAGGTCACTAAAATACTAAAGGAAATGTAGCTCTTTGGATAGTGAACATCTCTTCTATGTAACAACAGCACTTTCAAAGTCAGTCACAAGAGCTCTAAAAGACCTTTGTTTTATTAACAGTATTTGTAGATCATGTGTGAATGTAGAAAAGTTTTTCTGTAAATGTATTGAATGTATGAACAACCCAAAAAAGGATTGAAATTACTTGGATCGTGTAAATTCCGAGTCCTCCTGAACGCATCCCGTGAGCGTCTGGTTTCGTCTCGTCCTCCTGTTTTGTCTCGGAGCAGAGGAAAGATGCTGGTATAAAGAAGCTGCACACATGGATGGATGGATATGAATAATTTGGACGTAAACTATGGATAGGCCTGTGTTTGGGTTTAAGGAGCACCACTATGCTTTTACTGGTGTTAACGTTGATGGTTCCCACAGTCACAAACGGTATGTTGGCTCAGTTCTAATGAGAAAGTACCTGTCACGGTGTTACCGTTTTCTAGATAACTTTATGGTAAATAGATAACTTATTAGGCCACTAACAGAAATGTATACAGAACTGAATTATTAAAAACCTCGAAAGAGTTGACTGTGTGTAAAACCTTTTCTTTAAAAAGAGATCTTGTAAAACATATTTCTGTTATCCTACTTATAATAAGTTTAACTTCATCCTTCAACCTTTCAGACGGCAAATTATAAATTCAGACACAAATGTTCCCTTTATAGCCTACTAATCCTCAAAATGTTTTTATTAGTAATTTTGATATGATTTAAAAGCTGGTATCTATTTTGGGGGGAATTGTTAATGCAGACCTAAATAAACTAAAGGCCCACCATGAGGTTTGTAGGCTACTTTGTACCTTTCTCTTATGGACACAAAAGAAATGCATGTGTATTTTGTATTTTCTTTAATTATTTCAATCAATCAATCATTTTTTATTTGTATAAAATGTATAATGGGGGTTGTTCTGGCAGGCCGCCAACCAACGATCTTGAGGAGCCTAAGAGAGCTCAAGAGCTCTCAGGAAAGTAGGTGGTTAGTGACTGAGATTTACAGGTAGATACATGCAGTAATATGATATACTGTATATGCACAGAGAGAGAGAGAGAGAGAGAGGATAGCTCAAGGTGCCAGTTCCCCCAGTAGTCTAAGCCTATAGCAGCAAAACTAAGAGCTGGTCTACACCAGCACCAGCCCTAACTATAAGATTTATCAAAAAGGAAAGTTTTAAGTCTATTCTTAAAAATACAGACTGTGTCTGGAAGGCGGTTCCAGAGGAGAGGAGCCCGATACTGAAGGCTTTACCCCCATAGTACACTTAGAGACTGTAGGTACCACTAGCAGGCCTGCATTCTGGGACCGTAATGTTCTCGAGGGGCAGTAGTAGCTCCTTAAGATAAGATGGTGCCTGGCCTATTTAGAGCTTTGTAAGTGAGAAGAAGGATCTTAAATTCTATTCTAGACTGTATAGGGAGCCAGTGCAGAGAAGCCAACACAGGAGTAATGTGGTCCCTTTTCCTAGTTCTGGTCAGTACACGAGCTGCAGCGTTCTGGACCAGTTGAAGAGTCTTTAGAGACTTACCAGAGCACCTTGACAAAAGAGAGTTACAATAATCCAGTCTGGAGGTAACAAATGCATGAACTAGTTTTTCTGCATCATTTTGCGACAGGATATTCCTGATCTTGGATATATTACGAAGGTGAAAATAGGCTGTTCTTGAAATTTGCCTGATGTGAGAGGTAAAGGACATATCTTGATCAAATAGAACTCCTAAATTCCTAACAGTGGTGCTAGAACAGTGGTGCAGGCTGATGTCATTAAGGACAGTCAAATCACTAGAAAAAGTCTCTCTGAGGTTCTTAGGGCCTAGCACAATAACTTCAGTCTTGTGTGAGTTAAGTAGCAAAACATTTCTGGTCATCCAGGTCCTAACGTCCTTAAGGCACGTTTCTAGCTGACATAACTGACTGGTGTCATCAGGCTTCATTGATACATAAAGCTGAGTATCATCTGCATAACAATGAAACTGTATGGAGTGTTTCCTCATAATATTTCCCAGAGGAAGCATATATAATGTAAAGAGAATTGGTCCAAGTACTGAACCTTGTGGCACTCCATGGCTAACTTTGGTGTGCATAGAGTACTTATCATTAACATGTACAAACTGAGATCGGCCTGATAAGTAGGATTCAAACCAACTTAAAGCAGTCCCTGTAATTCCAAGTGAATGTTCTAGTCTGTATAATAGGATCTGATGGTCAATGGTGTCAAAAGCAGCATTAAGATCTAACAAGACGAGCACAGAGAGAAGTCCCCTGTCTGAAGCTAGAAGTAGATCGTTTGTAACTTTAACTAGTGCAGTCTCAGTGCTATGGTGGACTCTAAATCCTGACTGAAACTCCTCAAATAAACAGTTGTCATGGAGAAAGTCACACAGCTGATTAGCTACCACCTTCTCCAGGATCTTTGAGATAAAAGGAAGGTTGGATATAGGCCTATAGTTAGCTAGAGTTCCTGAATCTAGAGTAGGTTTTTTGAGTAGAGGTTTGATTACCGCTACTTTAAATGACTGTGGTACATAGCCTGCCAGTAAAGACATATTGATCATATCTAATATAGAGTTGCTAACTAAGGGAAAGACTTCCTTAAACAGCTTGGTTTGGATTGGGTCCAAAAGACAGGTTGATGGTTTCGACGCAGAAATAATTGAATTTAGCTCTGAAAGGTGATTGGAGAAAAACAGTCTAGACTAATATCTGGTCCTGGAACTGTCTCTGCCGTATCAGACGTATCGCACCAGGTAAGGGCAGGAGGTTACTAATTTTGTCTCTGATGTCTAGAATTTTGTTTGTTGAAAAAGCTCAGGAAATCATTACTGCTGAGGGCTAAAGGAATACAAGGCTCAATGGAGCTATGACTCTCTGTCAGCCTGGCTACAGTGCTGAAAAGGTATCTAGGATTGCTTTTGTTTTCCTCGATTAGAGAGGAGTAGTAGGCAGCTCGAGCGTGATGTAGAGCCTTCATATATTTCTATGACTATCCTGCCAGAATAAACGAGATTCTACCGTTTTGGTCGAGCGCCATATTCTTTCAAAATTTTGCGACGATTGTTTTAGAGTACAGGTTTCTGAGTTGAACCATGGAGCTATTCTCTGCCGTTTGATAACCTTCTGTTTTAGGGGAGCAATCAAATTAAGAGTAACTCTCAGTGAATCCACTGCACTATCAACAAACTGATCTAGCTGAGAGGGACTAAAGCTATCATAAGAGTTTCCAACTGGGTTGAAACACGGTACTGAATCAAAAGCAGCTGAAATAGCTTCCTTAAATCTAGCTACAGCACTATCAGACAAACTTCTAGAGAGCACATTTTTATTAAGCAGAGATAATTCTGGTCGGACAAAGTCGAAAGTAATAAGGAAATGGTCTGATAGAAGAGATTTTCTAGGAAAACTGTAAGGTTATGGATTTCAATGCCATAAGCTAAAACAAGATCCAGGGTGTGGTTGAAACGATGAGTAGGTTTGTTTACACTCTGGGTGAAACCAATAGAGTCTAATAATGACATGAAAGCTGTGCTAAGGCTCTCATTATCAACATCCACATATTGAAGTCACCTACAACAATTATTCTTTCAATGCTAAGGACTAAATCTGATAGAAATTCAGCAAATTCAGATAGAAATTCAGAATATAGGCCAGGAGGGCGGTAAACTACAACAACTAGAACTGGCTGAAAGGTTCTTGAGACTGGATGTGAAAGACTAAGAACAAGGCTTTCAAAAGAAGAAAAATTCTGTTATTTCTATTCCAGTGAACGTTATCTTGTGCATCTTTACAGCTCTGGAGGTCATTGGAGGAAGATCGACAACGGTGCAGGGAGGAGCAGCTGTCCTCCACTGTAAACTCATTGGTACCACAGAGACCCTCACACAGATTTCATGGCAGAGATTGACCAGAGGAAAACCTCGGACGGACAATTTCTATACAATCTCGTCCCATTATGGACCACGCTCTGTCAATGGCCGTGATGATCGGTTTAGGTTCATTGGGAGTTTTACAGATAAAGAGGGTACTCTCCAGTTATCGAATGTCACACTGATGGATGAAGGCACCTACACATGTGTGTTCACTTTGTTCCCCAGCGGGATCCATGAGACAGCGATACCTCTTATAGTTCCTGGTATGATACATTCAAAATGCTACTCATGTTGTGTTTGTATGTGTGAGTCATGAACATCTTAAGAGTGTGTGTGTTAACTTTGTTGTTGACTGTCGCTCTCTTAGTGCCTCCGGTCACAAGCCTGAAGGATGCTCATCCTGCTTTGGGTAACGACGAGGTCCCTCTTATTACCTGCACGGCTGCTGGTTCCAAACCTCCTGCAGAGGTGAGGTGGCTCACTGGTACTCTGGGAGAGAAAGTGAGGCCGTCAACCAACTCCAGCCTTCATGCTAACGGTACGACTACCACAGTCAGCTGGCTGTTTGGAGTGCCTACCAGAGAACTCAACGATCGTTCAGTCCAGTGTGTCATCACCAGTCCTGCTCTAGAGAGAGAAGAAACCCTGACCTCCACCATACATATCCACTGTGGGTATATAAATACACTCTCCTACATCAGTTGTTTTATCTGTGGTTAATGAACTGTGTTTTTCAGAACATTTTTGAAGCTTCTGTGAGTGAATGGACACTGGTCATGTTTTATTCCTCCTCGTCATCCTCTTCTTTTTTTGGTTTTCATTGTTGTATAAGATGAGCCTTCACCACTGACCAATGGCACACAGTTATCAAAGTGTTCATCAGCCAGCAGACTTGTTTAAAGCTGAATCTGCTAACTTTTTTGTTTTTGTTTTTCAAATAGCCTGACATGTGATTCTCATAAGATTCACTTCTTTAAATTCTGCAGGATGGTCTTTTATTGAGCTGGTCTTTTTTATTCCGTGAAAGAGAGATTTTTACTAAAAAAAAGGGAACATGCCATGTTAATATTCCTGCTTCTTTAGGAATATTTTAAAAGTTGTGGATTTCATTTTCCAGTGGGATTGTGACATTTACTCTTCTGCTAGTCCCTCTCCCCCTGTTCTCTGTGTTTCTCCATTAGTGTGACTTAGTGTGATTAGTGTGACTTCACTGTTGTTTCTCTAATGGGCCTTGAAAAAGCACATTCATCACAATCAAGTAAAAGTGCATGGCCATGCCAGAAAGGCAGTGTAGGCAGTATGATAAGCATGCTTGGTCTAGTTAGCTCTAAAGCCAGCCAGCTGTACAGTAGCACAATCTTTTAGTGTTGCAGCAGCAGATCATGTTGCTTCAACATTGGACCCCTTCTTTCGATTCCCTGCGGTTGAGCAAGACGCTGTTTTTTTTTCCATAAAGTTGTTTCTTTGGTTTTGCACGACTGCAGGGTTGATTTTATTTTTTTTCACAAAGGAGAATCTTTGATGTGGATATATTTCATATCATTCATACTTGTACAATATAAGCGACCTTCAACAAGTCTGTGAAATGTTTTCCAAATATTTTCACTCAGACACGCCCCTGATATGTTTTTCCACATACTCACATCAATCAGCTGTAATAATAAAGTTGGATTTGCTTTAACTTGCTCTTAACTGGGAAACGATGACATCAGGGCACATTTGAGTAACACATAAACATAAACAAATCAGTTTTTTGGGAGTTGCATCCTGATCATTTTGGGTCTTTTACCCGCTCTTTTTAAAGTGTCTTGGCGCTATACAAATAAAGATTGATTGATTTTACTAAACCAAACTCATATGTATTGAGTTTATATTAAATCATGGGAGTCCTCTCCTGATCTTTGGAAACAGTGATAAAGGTTGCAGATACAGTAGGAGGGTCACACACTTACTGTTGTTGCTTTTGGCTCTTTGTTTCTTCCTCTCAGTCTGCAGGAACAGTTACGTCTCTTGTTTCTGATGGAATTCCCCCAGAAGCCCTCATGTGACACATACTGAAATGCTCCACCTAACTAATAACAAAAAGTCACAGCATTATCTGCAGGTTCTGGTTACACGTTCATTTATCTGTTTTCAGGCTTTATTTAACCTTCCAGTGGGAATGTTTGACCTTAAGTTCTCATCGTCCTGACAAACAACAGCCTCTATCTGAACAACAACATTTTTTTTTACTTACTGCTGATGTAGAGTGTGGTGTCCTGCTCTCACAAGTTTTAATCATCCCAGCTGAATAGGATCCAAAGATGATCTGTGTGTGTGTATATATAATTCACGTTTTAGAGAGCGTAATAACACACCTCATTCTGTCTTCCTGTTTGTCGCAGCTCCTCCTCTGGAAGTGAATATCACTGAAAGGTCGGCACACTCCTTTGAATGTCTCACAGAGGCATATCCAGCTGCGAGCTTTACTTGGACGAGGTACAGACATTTAAATAATCTGATTCCAGAGCAAAACATTTTTACAGAAAGCAAACAAAAGAACAAAGATAATCGTGTCTCCTGCTGCCTCTCATAGGCCCACCCAGGTGCATGCTGGTCCTCTACCTGCCTCTTACTTAAATAACCTCTGGTGCCCACAGTGTTACCAAATACCTAACAAAAATATTAATGCAAAGCTAAATTTACTAAACAAACAACTAGCAAAAAGAAAACATTACCCAAAATGTAGAATAATTAAATAAACAACAACACCCAAATATTAATAAACTAAACACCAAAACTAATTCTAACAACAATTAAATAGCTCCAACAAAAACAAAAAATGTGTTTTAATGGAGTTGAAAGTAAATTTGAAGAAAAAAGAAAACATATTAATTGACAATCAACACTGAGAATTAGAGGCAGCAAACTAAGTGTCTGCTTATCCAACACTGTAACAACACAGGGAACTGTAGAGAAAAATAAGATAGAACTTTATCAGAACCAGATAGAGACAGGAACTCAAAAGCAGACTCACACGTGGCTGAGTTCAGGAACAGGCAGAGTTTAATTACAGTCCAGGTCAGTACACAGGAAGGCAAATCTTCAAGGCAAACAAATCCAAAGGGAGCAGGCAAAAGGCAAAACGGTAAGACAGGCACCGTCAAAAATCACTCTAAGTCTAACACGGGGATGTATACACACAGACAATCAGGGCAGGAAAACATGAGGAGGAGGATCTGAAAAACATGACACTAGGTAACTTTATGGATCCTGTCAAACTTAAGAATTCATATAATTCCATAAAATGAATTAGCCTGGAACCAATCAGTTGATTTTGCAGGACCTTGTTTAAAGGTCCCATATTCTTCTTTTGCTGGTTTTATCTGCTCTTTAGTGTGTTTTCCAAGTGTCCTGTACATGTTTAGGCACATCTATGTGCAAAAATTCAAAGTCTGCGGAAACGCAGCTTCTCCTACGTCCTCCTGTTAGCTGTAGCATTAGCTGCATGTAGCACTCGGTTCTAGCCCCCCTCGATAAAAATGTGTCAGTGTGACGTCATTGTCGGTGTGAGATCACTGATCTAAGCCCATTGGCTCGTTGTGGCCCAGCAGCTCATGTTGAGATTTCCGAGACGTGTGCTGAGCAACTGACCAATAACGACAGAGCGGATCGGCAGACCAATCAGAGCAGACTTGGCCCACGTGGGGTCTAACAGTGTGGGCTCAACAGAGTGTAGCTGACGGACTCAGAGTGTAGAGGGAGCAAGGAGGAGCAGTTCATGAAAACAGACACTTTTTTAAGTGTCTGTTTTCATGTTTTCATTCCCACAAGACGGGAATACAATGTGCAATAATTACCTAACCACTGCTAACTGTTCAATATTACTTGTGCAATAACTTTATAATTCACTGCTTTATAATTGTTTATTTATTTACTCAGTCACTGCACTTTAACTTTAACGGTCTATTTATTTATTCATTAATTCATTCATCGCACTAAAACTGTTTATTTACTCATCCAGTCACTGCACAATAACAACTCTATATACTCTTTCACTGCACTATAACTTCACTTATCTGCACTATCTCTCTATATATATATATATTTGTTTACCTAATCAGTTACTGCACAATTATAACTGTATATATTCTTTCAGTCACCACAACTGTCTATTTATTATTATTATTGTTATTATTATTATTATTATTATCATTATTATTATTGTTATTATTATTATTATTATTATTGTTATTATTATTATTATTATTATTCATTCACTGAACAGCAGTTGGCCACTCTGGCCACTTTTCACAAACATATTTGTCTTCATATTACCACAAATATATTTTTGTTTTTGTAAATGCTGCTGTATAGGATTGCTGCTAACAAAGTTTTCTTGTGTCCTTGTATACAATGATAATAAAGATTCTATCTTTCTATCTATGCCTTTAGAAAGGATTAAATAGTTTGTATTTGATTTCATGTCTTTGCAAAACTTTCGACAGATGGTGACCCTTTTTTGTTTTTGGGGCTGGAAGTCTTTGTTAAGCTCAGCATTGTTCTAACTTTCAGATCTGACCGGTCGTGGCCTCAGTCCGGGGTCCGAGTTGATGGTTCAACGCTGCAGTTTCTGAGCATCACCTCCGAGCTGAACGGCCTCTACCAGTGCGAGGCGTCGAACTCGTATGGGAGTAAACATGCTTACCTCCGTGTGCATTTCACCTCAGGTGAGATCCCTTTTGACTCGCCTCCAGTTATTTCAGCAGCCAAATGAGTTTATTATAGCACGTTGTTCCCGTGGAATCCTTAAGGACATAGTGAGAGTTGAAATGCTGGATATACTTGATTAGGATTCCTCTGAGACTCCTCCATGCCGAGAATATTGAGATTTTTAAACGCAGTCTGAAAACTCATTTATTCAGTCTGGCTTTTATATAGCGCTTTATATAAATTCAAATCTTAACATTATTGTTTTGTCTTTTTTAATCCTACTACAATTTTAAATATTCCTCTCCTATGTATTAATTTAATATCTTATTGCTTTTATTATTTTTTATATATATTATTAGTCTGTCAGTGATTTTATAAACTACTTTTTCGTCAATAACTTTTCTGCACTCTTGTAAAGCACTTTGAACTGCAATTTAATTTGTCTGAAAAGTGCTATATAAATAAAGTTTGATTGATGTGTGTAGATATTTCAGCTGTGTCCAACTGTAAGAAGAGGGTCCAGGACCAGCTCAGGCTACCCTGGTTACACAACAATAGATCCTGCACATGGCACAGGAATGCTTTAAAGTTGCTTTAGCCTCCCTCTCTGCACTATCAGAAAAAAACACAAAAGTTTCAAGTTCTCAGACTCTAAAACTGCAGCTACTGATTTTTCACACTTAAATATAATATAAATCAAGTTTATCCTCTGAAAATAACTCTGTGAGTCATGACTGTCTACAATGGGTGTAACACCCGAGTCCCACTGTCTGTCATGTTTTCAGAGTTTTCAGAGTCCTATCTTCACTTTGTTTACATCGCCAGGACGGCCGGCTGACTCCTCCCCTCGTGTATAAAAGTTGTTTAATTGAGGGACTAGAGAAAAGAAGAATAACATACTGTACTCACTGCTTAACTGTGTTTCTAGATCACGCTCATTTCAGGTAAATTTACATGCAGTGTGAAGATACCAGCATAATAAAGATCACTAGCATTAGCATGCTAACACAACAATGCAGCGCCAGTTGTTTTGGTTTCATGCTGGTGCTCAAGGGCGACATCTGCTGGATCAAAAAATCACATACAAAGCCTTTAAAACCTAAAGCAGGACCAGTCTTGTGAAATATTGTATATCCTCGTCATAGTAATTTGTGAAATATTGTATATCCTCGTCATAGTAATTTTTATTTTTGTCTTTGTTGTTTTTTAGTTTCAGGACTGGCCAGAAAAGATAGGATAAAAAACATTTAGCAGGGTTTTAGTTGCATTGCATTATTTTTTTAACCCGAAAATGCTTTAATAACCGACAGTGAACACCAGCTCATGTTTGCAAAACAATTGACCTATTGTGGTCAAACATTCCAACATGTGAGGCCAGAAGATTAAATACTGTTACAATCAGGATCTTAAAAATAGAACTGACCTTCCACTGGCCATTGAGTACAGACTCCTTATTTACACATGTCAAAAGTTCATGAAGTCTAATTTGGGAGCGCTAACTTAGTGGTTATTCCCCCATTCTCTCCTCTCAACATTTCCTGTCTCTGTCCAGTTGTCCTATCCAATAAAAGTGAAAACGCCCAAAAATGACTTTGAAAATAGTCTGAACACTTACCAAGCACACCTTTGTTGTTACTTTGTCTCACAGCTTTCTTCACTTCATCTCTACTGTATGTCTCTCGACCACAGCTGTGTGATTGAAAATATAACTGTTACTGTAGATCTGTTGTCTTTTAGGGCATCTGTACTGAAGATACTATCAAACCTGAAACCAACAGGGATCAGTATCATTTAAAAACACTTTGTTAAAGTATCAGAGTGTTAAAAACGCTGACATCCCACAATAAAGATAACTTGTTATGTTTAGTATGTTATTCACAGAATGCTATTTAATCATTAACCATTAGCAGCTGATTTAATGCCTGGCTGGATGGCAGCTGTCAGCAAATTGTTAACATAACTGAGCTGGGTAGTTTTTTGTTTTTTCTGCCTGAAGCTCCCAGTGTTACCTGATCTGTCTGGATCTGATCTTAGTGCTGAAGGAAAAGGAGCTGAGACATTTAATAAGCTTCAAAGTGTGATTCACTGCAGGCCAGTTGTACTAATTCAGATTCAGACAACTTTATTAATCCCAGAAGGGCAATTCAGTTTCACAGCCTACTGAGTCTTGTAAAGAAAAAACAAAGACAATAAACAAAATGAGAAGCCAGAGCTAGCAATCTAGAAATTCCAGATATGTATCTAATAAACAGATACATTCTAACAATCACTTAGCAGACACTTTTATCCAAAGCGACGTACATCAGAGAGTAAGAACAACAAAGCAAGGATCTAGAAAAAGGAAAATGTGAGTAAGAGCAAACGATCAGCTTTTGAGTCTGATTGGAACACACAGGTGCTGACAGGAGTGACCAGAGGCAAGCCAACATTGAGGGCAGTTCTTGAGAGCTCTAATCAGTATAGAACCATCTTATAATCGTCGTTATCAAACAAAAACCATCGTCATACATCATCATCATAATATGGAGACCATCATCATTAAGTTAGTAGGTATTCATGAAAGAGCTGGGTCTTTAGCTTTTCTTAAAGGTGCAGAGGGACTCTGCAGACACATGGAGTTTGGAAGTTCATTCCACCACGGGGGCGACAGAGGAAGAAGAGTCTAGTCAGCGTCTTAGGAACCCTGTTTGTGAAGGTTGGAGGTTGGGGGGGGAGGGGAGTGTAGACCTGGATCAGAGAGTTAAAGTAAGGAGGAGAACGTTTTTGTCGCTGTTTTGTAATCGAGCAGCAGAGTTTTAAATTTGATGCGAGCAGTAACTGGAGCCAGTGTAAGGAGGTGAACAGCTCTTTTACATAAATGAATGGACCTCACAGGTCACCTAAGGGTGCAGTAACAGTCCATTCAGTACTGGGCTGCATTGGATTAAATTAACTGGTCGTGCAAATCTGTACTTCCTGTTACTTTCTTCATGTTCTCCTCTGTCCTGTCTCTCTACAGGATCCTGCACTGCCAGTTGGACCCTTTTTGTTCTTCTGCTCGTCCTCGTTGTTGCTGCTGTCTTGTGTTGCTTCTATAAAACGTATGGAAATTGCAAGGTACGAAATGAA